GGGGGGGTGGAGGAGGAAAGGTGGCACCTCCTCCGGCTCCTCCCATCATCTTCCTCATTAGAGGTGGGTTTACATGTTTGACTTGTGAATCAAAAGGATTTTCTGGTCACACTGAAGCATCTGTGCACTTTTAGCTTAAAACCTTTAGCTTAAAATCTCAGAGTCGTGCTGAAGAGTTTCTAACTGCTGGCTTCTCTGAGCTTCTTACTGTGCCCTATCCAGTCTTTAAGTCTGACATCATTAGCTGTGCCTGGGCCCAAACTCTGCTGCAGGTCTCAAAGTCAAACGAACACTGCAGCATCACTGAGAGTTAAAAACTGTCTAAATTCTTTCATTTTCAATAAAATGATCAGCGTTGCCGCTTTATCAGGTGTAACAATTAAGTTTAACATCCAAGCATCCGTGAGAACAGAATTTATGAAGTTTAACACAGTTAGCAGGAAGTTAGCTCGCTAGCTTCCACCTAAGCATGATATAGCATGCTCTGACTGAGAGATTTATGAAAAATTCAAACGTACAGCTCTGCTATCACTTCAAACATGAATGAAGACAGGAAACTAAACAGCAGTGACATTTGTAGGGTTACTGAAGTTGGGCTAGCTGCTATATAACGATATGCTACGTGGCCGCTAGCGACACAGCTATGTTAGCATAAACACAGTGAAGCTGGAGGATGAACGCTAACTTTTTTCCACTTGATAAAAGTTAACTTGATGGTTCGGGACAAATGTAATCGCATGGCAGGATGCTGTAAACGGACCAAACTTCAGTCAGGAGAACAACTGAGATTATTCATCCACAACACCAGGTTAGTCATTAATATACTGCTGCTGGGCTGGAGTTACATCGTGAGGTTTCAAATCTGAGCTTTAAAATTAGGAGCGATAATAAAGCGAGAGAGGCCGACAGTGATCACTGTTTTTAGGGGCTTGTTCAGATTAAATACATACAAAACATTCAAACATGTTAAAAACACAACAGCCTTATTAAACGCAGATTCGTTTGGGCCGGAAGCAGGACTCATCACGTCATCACTAAAGACCGGATTCTTACAGCATTTGGAGCCCTAATAAATGTTTTAGAAACAAGGCGTCCACATGAAATTCTCAGGGACCAAGAACACTTTGAAGTTCTGTTTTAAACAGAAGAAAGTGCTGGTACCCTGTTTTCTGTCAGTTCAACAGACAAAACATGCCAAAGCATCTCAGTCTGATTGAAGTCCAGGAAAGATCATTATTATCTCCTGATGGGCGGACATTCTCCTTCAGGGTTTTCTGGTAGAGAGCAGAATTCCTGCAGAGCAGCCCAGACCGTCACACTACCGCCACCGCGACCTCCTGGACGAGTCGTCGTTTTGGTGGGCAGCTCGCTCCGGTGAAGGTTCCAGGATTGTTCCAGGTTCATGTGCTTCATGTGCAGAGGTGTTTTTTCCTGTTCTCAAACTGATCTCCCTGTTGGAGCTCAGTCTGGGGGGAGTTATTTTTTTCTCCTTGTCTTTCCTCATGTTGTGCATTTTCCATGTTATACCTCTCTGACCTGTCTTCCCCATGTGATGTTTGTCTAATGCATAGGTGTCAAACTCTGGCCCACGGGCCAAATTTGGCCCGCAGCCTGATTACATTTGGCCCACGAAGCCATACCAAATTACTATCAGAGCTGGCCTACTGGTATTATACAGCTAATATATATATTGTTCAGTATTAAGCTTTGCTTGTTCCATATTCAGTTTTTCAGCAAAACGTGTTTGAGTCCATAAGAAAAGATTCATTCAATAAATATTAACGTTAGCCTGCGACTTTGTTCCAGTTTTGAAATTTGGCCCACTGTGTATTTGAGTTTGACACCCCTGGTAATGTATGTATGGTCGGAAGGGTAAGATGGCGCTGGCAAAAGTCGGTAGCCTTAAACAATTTCCTTCGGGGTCAACCTTCAGGATCAATAAAGATTTGTTGAATTGAATTGAAGTGGTTTTCTGCATGTGTGGGTAACGACTCCACCGTGGTTCACTGGAGTCTCACAGCTTTAGAAACGTCTCTGTGACCCTGTCAGGCTGCAGATGGTGCTGTGAGGTGCTGCTGTCTGAGGTCTTTGTCCTGAGTGTGGCAGTGAACATGAACTCTGTCAATCACATGAATTCATTATTGAAACAGGGCGTTACTGTTCCACACAGGAACAGGTAGCTTTGGAAAAAATAAAGTTGAGCATAACGAAGAACTGGAAGACCAATTAACACTAATTAGTAGGGATGGGTATTGTTTAGGTTTTATCCGATACCGGTGCCAAACCGGTACTTTTGAAACGGTGCCGGTGCTTAAACGGTGCTTAAAGAATGGAGAACACAAACTTTTGTAAAGAGATAACAATGTTAGCCTTTTCTGCAGCTATGGGGCATATATGGTATCACTCTTGGTTGGAAGCAGTGCTTAAACAATGGAAAAAACACAAACTTTGTCCAAAAACCTCTCATGTTTAGCCTGTTTTCAGCTTTTTCTTTGGTCATTTTAGCCTTTTTGACCAGGGTGAAGGGAGCATCTGCC